GCAGATCCAGCGCGCAGGTTGATTTCCGGGCATTATTCGGCATGCCCTGCTCTTATACCTGTGTGCTCAGTGTGTTTCTGTAAAAATACCTCCTGGATTCGCCTTTTTCTCAACTCTTAGCCCAGAATAATCCGTATGGACGACCTCCCGGTTCTCCTCTGCTCCATTTGCCGCCGATCGAATGTCGTCAGAATACGGTCTTGTGGTTAAGGTTTCTGAAAAAGCGCTAAAATTAGTCGTATTCACTTAAGGGTCGCTGTTGGTGAGGCCTGTGGCTAGCTTGTTTTTAATCCCATGACTGACCTTAGATGGTTGATGTCGTTTATTTGCGCCTAAGACGGCCATGACCTGACGCTAGCGCTCTGGTTCACGTCTCTCCTAAGGTCACACACACTGTGCAGACACTTGTGCCGTCCTTGCATGACGGCGACTATCGCCGTTGTGAAATGCGATGATTCCTGAGCGCATCTTGTGAGGCCTGCAAGTAGGCGAAAACTGTCGTTTGGTGGGTGGGTGGGTGGCTGTTGTTGATCAGTACAAAAACAATTTAAAAAGGGCATCGAAGTCGACTGTGTGGGAAATTATCCAATAGCCGACGTATGCATCCCATCACAAGGACCTTCAAGATAAGAACGCATGACCCCCTAACCCTTGCTGGAGCAGACACATACAGCGAAGTCTGAGTGCAAATTAGTGGCAGGCAAGCGATGGTCACACAACAATATTTTGTCCACCGAAGCAGTCATTTACCTATGAATACACCAAAATCACGTTGTTTGCCAAAGGTCATCGCCTCATCCTGAAAGGAGCCTTTTCTTGATCAGAAATCCAACCCGGGGGCACTTTGAATAAGCCGATTGATCTAGCTTCTTCAGTTAACCTGATGTTGCACCGAAGGCATGTTATCTGCCAATGTTCATCGCCTGTTGAGCCTGAAAAGAACCTTTTCTCGATCAGAAATCCAACCCGAGGGCAGATTGAATAAGCCGATTGATCTAACTTCTCCATTTAACCTGATGCAGCACCTTCTTTTAGTCAGTGCGTCATTGGACG